ATGAACCAGCCTGCCCCCCCAGAGCATTCCAGGGGGAAATATTCTATTTGACTTTTTAAAAAAGTGATACAGTGCATCTGTGCTGCCCTAATACACTTTCTAAAAAATTCTCACAATGGAGTCAAAGAGGTGTTTCATTCACCATTATCCTGAAGTGGACCTCTTCTGAAGTCTCTTCCAAACACTGGCAAATTGTCATTGGGCTGCTGCAGATCATTTAGGGGTTCTTGAGGTCCTTATGTCATTTGGATTGCACGAAACGGCAAACCAGGCTTCTTAGCCACCCTATTCAACCTGTACCAACCGGCTCCAGCCTAGTCGTGTAGCCAAACCCTCAGTGTGCAACACTGATGGTGTCTGTGCTGACGTCTCAATTTATGCATCATCAAAAGTTTGTGTTACACTAGCACTAAAGGACAGTAGAATTTTGTTCCTATGTATATTTATATTTGCCTTTGACAAAGAAGTTTCTCCCCTATACATGCATAAATCTGCTTGGATATACTTATCACATATAATCACCAACTGTCTTTGAACGATGCTTAATGACTACCCATTAAGATCAGTATTTGTCATCTTCTAAGATGTTAAATAATCCTTGGCAACTATTGTTAAGGCCATCATCCTTGGCTGCAAGACCTTCTGTGTTTCTATTATATTTCGTGTAAGTCCTCTCATGTATATATAATTGTTTATTGAGGCAACACTCCATGCATCTGAAGAAATGGGATGTACTCCACAGAAGCTTAAGCTCATATTAAACTGTCAGAATCTCACAGACAACATGCTCTGTGAATATAGACCAACATGGCTGCAGAATATAGAATGTTTTCTAACCTGTTCTCCCCAATACTTCTTTTTAAAAATTCAATTTTTTTCCAGATACCTTTTATATAGATTCCATCCCCTACTACATTGTTCACGTAGGTATTCTTGTGTGTTGTTAAGTGTCATTGAGTCAAAGTTTTTTGCAAGTGACATAGCACTGAATTGGTTTTTAAAGTATGCAAGAAGTTCACAGAGCTCTTTGTGTTTGACATCCCCTAAGTGAGTTTCCATGACCAAAGGAGGGAATTCAGCAAAGGTCTCCCAAGGCCTAATCTTATGGACCATTTACTATAGCATACCAAGAGTGTGATCTGAAGGGCATTTATCCTGTGGTTTGGTATGCTTTGGAGATGGACTGGTTCTCTTCTTTTTCCCAATGACCATATGATATACAGGCAATCATGAACCAGCTCATCACTTATCTTTGCCAACCTACAATTTTTGAGGTCCCTGTCAAGGGCTACTGTTTTTTAGTATGGGTAGAATTGCTCCATTTTGGTTCAGCTTCAGCGTGAATGATCGCTTGGATCGAACCAAAGTAGATCACTCACCTACTTTATTAGAAAGAACAAGAAGCAACAATTCATTGAACCCACGCTGCAGGATCAAACCAATTATCAGTGAATTAAAAGCTTCCTCCCATTCTCACCATGGGAAAAATAGAATTGGAAAGCAAATTCAGTGCTATACCACTTGAAAATGTTTTTTAAATAAAAGCTTCTTCCCCCTGCCCCATAGAGGAAGAGACAGGAATTCAGCAAAGGTCTCCCAAGGCCTAATCTAAATGAAAGCTTCTTCCCCCTGCCCAATAGAGGAAGAGACAGGGGAGCATAAAGAGGGGGATCTTTTTCTGATTTTTTGTCTCCCCCCCCCCCATTTTTCTTCTTCTTTTCTTTCCCTTCAAGGGAGAGATGGACTACATACAGTCACTTGAGGTGTGGCATGGTTTTCTGCCCCCAAACCACTCAGCCCTTGCATGTAGATCCAAGGATCACCCCCAAATGACATACATCACCTCTCTGTGACCTTCTTTAGCCTGATCCAGTATGACCATCTAGTCTCACCCTAACACTCGTATGTTTCAGTGTAGCAGTGTTATTGATGGGAGAAACTTTAAAGCTGTAGATTCAGTTTCACAATGTGTCCCCCTGCATTCTCTTTGACTCTTGGTTTATCTTTACTGCTCCATTCTCCTCCCAGAGAACAGAGGATTCTTCTCTCCCCACCTCTTCCCCATTTCTATCTCTCTTCTTCTCTTCACTGTTCTGTCTTTGCATAAATTTTGATAATAAGGCTCTCAGAGTTTGGGACTCATTTATCTCCTTCTAGAATGAACATGGCTCAATAGCTTAGGTATCTGGCTGCAGAACCAGAGGCTGCGAGTTCAATTCCCCATTGTACCTCCCGCAAGTTGACCTACCCTGTGTGGCCTTGGTCTAACTGCACAGTCTCAAAGTGTCCCCCCCCCATTGACTTGATGGTACATTATTATTTGATTTTAGAATGATTATGGACCATTATTTTTTTAAAAAAATGAAATAATAGCAAAGAAGAACAATCCCTTTGTTCAGTGGGACTGGGATCTGGAAAGGATTAATTTCTAAGAATGCCAAGCTCTGAACTGCCCTTAAGTGGGGTAGATGGAAAAAGACATGAAACCATGAAATCCAATTTGTGGAGGGGGTGGTGGTGGGAGGGAGCTACTTCGCAAAACACACCTATATGGCTGTGCAGCCGTGAATAACCATACATTTTATTTTTAGAACCTACACTCCTGCACAACAGTGAAAGTGCACAGGAACCTATAGCACATAACCTATAGCTGTGAATAACCATACAATTTATTTTTAAAATCTCCACTCTTGCACAACAGTGAAGGTGTACATGTATTTACAGCATGGAACCAAAGAGAGAAAGAGGAACTTGAAACCGCTACACGTCCTGCAACTTCTGTAATCGCAATCCTGTGCATGTGGCTCTTGGTCATGTCATTTATACAGCAAATACCAGATGGTATCTTAGAGGTACACTTGTGAGATAGCAATGGTGCTTGATAAGGCTACAAGGAATGGTGGCATAGAAACAAACAGGGTTCTGGTATAAACCCATCCAACCAATGTCTTATGTAAAGCTTGCATTTCTGGGCACAAGAGGGCAGTAAAGAAATAGCATGGAAAGACCAAGGCAAACTATGGGCAAGTTATTAGGGGAAAAAAAAATACACACCTTCAAATATACACTGTTTTGCCCAATTTGCTATTCTTCTATTTTTCTTTCTGTTCAGGTGCGGGGGGGGGGACACAGATTGATAACATATATTTGAGGGATACATATCTAGTAACCTTTATGTAATTTCCTAAGTTGCAGTCACCATGTATTCTCAAATTGTTTAAGCTTTCTGGAGAAAAGCCATGCCATAGGACTTATTTGCAAATTATAGAGAGGCTATGATATCTCCACAAGATTGGGTAATACATTTACCTCCTCCAGATAATCTGAAAAACCTTGGTGATATATGGAATTTGACAATTCCTGCATTGAGCAGGGGTTTTGGACTCGATGACCTTGTAGGCCCCTTCCAACTTCTCTTTTCTATGACTGTAATCAAGGGAGTAATTGCCTCATACATGGGTATATATGAAGAACTGCAGAATGTGTTAGTTCTGAGTACAACTTCCTGAGAATCTTTGTGTTCTTTTTGTAATAGAAATATTCTGATCTCTGAGCCAGCCTGTGCAGCCTTGGGCAAGCTGTACAGTCCCAGGGCACCCCAGAAGAAGGGAATAGTAAACCACTTCTCAGTACCCTTCATGAGAAAACCATGAACCGAGTTGCCATAAATCAGGACTGACTTGAAGGCAGAGGCCTTCAAGTGTCCTGTTTCTGTGCATTAGATACTGCACCTGAACCTCTTGTTCATGTGGCTGTTTAAAATCTAGCTTGAAGGAACAAGCGCTATCAAGTCCATGCAAGCTAGATTTTTACACACACAAACATATATATTATGTCAGTGACTCGGCACTAGACTTCCCATCTGTGATATATTTATATTTAACTTTTCTCAGGGATGTTACAAGGTCACAAAAAAGGGGCTTCAGGCCTTACATGTGGCCTGTGGCCTACATTTTGCCCATTTCTGCTATAAATGCTTCGGCTGTCATTTTCAGGGTTTCTACTTAACAAATGTAGGGTAGTATGTCTGTGGAAAAGAAGCTGTGGAATGGTACAGTGTGGAAATTTAGATCCCAGGGTATCATCTGACCATTGTTCAATTATAGATGGCTTCAGCATTTCATTAGAAGCTGTGTCTTAGAGTCATGATGTCAATCCCTATAGCCCAGAATGGTCTATTCTTATTGGCAGCCTTTCTCCAGGGATTCAGACAGGATTCTTTCCTAGCCCTACCTGAAGGTTCCCAACTTTCCCTGGAGGCCTCACATTGAGGTACTACCCAAGCCTGATTCTGCAGTGGTGCCTCGCAAGACGCTAATTTTACCAATCTATCATGTCTAACTCTGTAATCTGTGTAATCTTTGGACATTTACAGATGAGTTGTGACACAGTTGTTGTTGATGATGATGATGATGATTACTACTGCTGCTGCTGCTGCTGCTGCTGCTGCTACTACTACTACTACTACTACTACTACTACTACTACTACTACTACGGATGTGAGAAGACGCTTGGAAGTGCATGGGGAATAGCAGGCTAAGTGTGTGAGGAATGCCATGTCTCAAGAAGCTAGAGGAGACACTGGAGAGTGTTGGACTGGGGCAGAAATTCTCAGTAATCTAGCATCCTTATCTAAAAATTCTGACTTAATAGATGGGCATCAAGGGAATACACTAATGCCTTAGTTTGAGTGGGAATCTGAATCCGCAAGGCCCCCTTCTTTTTCGTTGGCGGTCCTGACCTATGACTTTATGCTGCTGGAGGCAAAGGATGTGACGGGACTCCTCCCTCATTCCTGGGTCAGATGCTGACAGGAATCACAGTTAAATCTTATTTTAACACTGAAGACAACAAACTAATTTTGGGGTGCGTGTGTGTGCGCGCGTGCGCGTGCAGGACACGCTATGTGTCACATACCGCTTGATAAGAGAGGAGGGTGACTGGGGGCTATCATTGCCACTGCCGCCCCCCCCCCCAGTATCTGCAACCTGAGGCAGCTGCCTCGTTCTACTGAAGAGAGGAGGTCCTGCTGATTCGTATGGCAAGCTTGCTGCTCCTTTGTTTTAAACGGTTACAACAACCGAAAAGGGGAGCAAAGCCAAAAAAGGCTTAAACAGGGACCGATTTTTCCCCCTTTCTTTAAGCTCGGGATTTTGTGAAACACTATTTCCTTGTTCAGAGAGTAGCGGGGTGGCGGGGGGGGGTGAGGAAGCCGTCTCATTTCTTGCTTGTTTTCCAAGCGCAAGAGCGAGTGGGCTCGAGTTCATTTTTGCCGCTGGAGAAAACACCAATAAAAACAAATTCGCCCACGACGTGAGGAAAGAGGAAAGGGAACCTTTGGCGGGCCGAGGCAGACAAAGGTTGTCGGAGCCGGCGGGAAAGTAGAGTCACGAACTCTCTCCCTCCCCCCGCCGCCTCGCTTTGCCCCCTCTCTGGAGTTTTTCCTAGGAAGGGCGGCGGATCGTGCAAAAAAGCTCCGGGAACCCGAGGCGTCAGACGAGGGCACTCGGTGACCCTTCTGACAGCTGTTTCCTCTCCTCGTCTGCGAGCAGGACATATATTATCTGTCATAGATACAACTCCTCATCCTTCGCTCCTCGGTGCTGGGGGCGCTTCTCCAGCTGCGCCCAAATTCGGTCGCGCTCCGAGCCTCCGGAGACGCCGCAACATGGGCAAACTTGCCTTCCCGGCTCTCCGCCCCAGCCTTTGCTTGTTTCTCTTCGCCGCCAGAGTCTGGGGTAAGTCGTGCGCTCACCCGCCGCTCTCCCTCCGCATTGGCGGGAAGTTATTGCCTCCACTTTTCTGTTTCCCCGTCCTCTCCCTCTCTTTCTTCACCGCTGCGCCCCATACTCCCCGGGGGTGATTAATTCCGCTTTTCCTTTTTTTCTTTTTGGTTGACTCAGCTGAGAACTTTAAAACTTTTGAGGTGTGGGAAACTACTCGCCTTTTTGTCTCCACACTGAGAGCCTGTTTGGAAATTGACCCGGGCAGTTCTGGTCCTCCCTGTGAAAGTGTGGAGGAGAGTTCATTTCACAGTTAAAAATAAAATGGAAATAGTCAAAGAAAACATCTCCCACAGATGTAGGAAGGGGCAGAGAAGACTTTGGCAGAGACAAGGGTGCTTGGGGACTAACATCTAAGAACACCAAGGGGAACATCAGAAGGTAGAACAGGAATTTTCTGGATCACCTCCTTCCCACCACTCCTTTGTTACTACCTTACTACTCATCAGTTACTACCTTCTCTTACTTTCAAGTAACACATGTTGGAATTACTGATCTTTGGTGACATAAAGTAGTTTAAATAAGCTTAAAACTATTTAAACAATTCATGCCATCAGAGATCAGTAATTCCTGTATGTGTTACTTGAAAGTAAAGGAAGGTAGTAACTAATGAGTGGCGGATAAGAGGTGATCCTAAATAGAATCATTCTAAGTTGTGAATCATGATGTGTTTTGCAAAATTACTGTCCTAACTTTTGATTGTCTGTATTCTATATTTTGAGACTATGATGTGCCTTTTCCATGTTATTTTTCTATTTTTATAGAAATGTTTTTCAGAAATGTAGTAGTGTGAAGTTTGAGTTAGGAGGATCCCCACAGATGATTCTTGGCTGAGAGCCAGGGAAGTTCTATCTGGTTACTTGCAAACAATTCCTGTTACATTTGTGCTGGCACATCTTCCCTCTCTGGGTCCTTCTGAACCATATCAGGGGACACTTACAACTCTTCTCTTACATCATGCGGTATCCTGGCATCCAGCCAACACATACGCCAACCCCTCCTGTGGATCTTTCTTAGTTGAACATGTAAGAATCCTACCCCGTCTGGGGGATTTCTGAGACATTTCAGTTGGAGTTTTGTCTGCTTCATCCCAACCCTTGGGAAAAGTCTCACGGTTCTGTGTGGGTGTCCTGATTGAGGCATAACTTTCCTTGGCTTCTGCTGCACCTCCTCCTGCTCTGGGCTACAGGACTCCTCTGAGGTGCAAACCATTAATGGATCAGCAGAGGCTAGACCAGGAGGGAAGGAAGGAACCAGGGAGTGGGGGAAGCTGTGGGCTGGAATGCAACTTGCATCACAACCAGCATTAACAGTGAACTCCCAAATCAATCTACAGCCCCTGTGTGGGCACTGTTCGAGATTTCAGATGTAATACAAGTTGTGATTAAAACTGCAGCAAAGCCAAATCGTTCTGATTCAGCTCTCCAATGTCGCCACACCCTTACTCCAAGATAGGTATGTCTAAGATTGCAGTCTGTTTACCCAAAGGTTGTTCTTAAACAACAACAAATGTTTCTTTTACTAGAAAGGTGTGTTTTCAAAGTATAGTAAAAAAAATTGTATCTTATCAGATCATAGTTAGCCACCTCCTAAATTTTTTTGTGTACTGTGAAGATGGTAAGGCAATTTGTTCAATTTCTCACTGGTCAGTCTGTAAGTTGAGTATGGTGGTCCATAAGTTTATTCAGCCACCCTCTGTTCCAGACCATAAATACAGTGTGAATGGAAGATACCTCATACAGAAGAGGACCTGGGTTTTCTCTGCTTTCTTGCTGCTGGGCCATTAAACAATCCCTGTGGTCTGTGGGGGAAATCGGCGTACAGGTAGATGCCAGAGAATGAGGGAACCCACTGTTTGCCAGGACTTGGGACAATGCTTTAGACTCAGGAAGATAATTGAGTAGGCTGAATGTGCTCACAAAGTGATCGCTGGTGGTTATATCATGCTGAGGAGGGCATAGGCTAGTGATGGCGAACCTATGGCATTTTCAAAGTATAGTAAAAAAAAAGCCCTCTCTGTGGGCACATGAGCCATAAGTCGCCATAGAGAAATACTTACCTGTCCTCTGATCCTGGATTTTGGTACTCCCTTCTGCTGGTGCAGTGGTCCAGCAGAGGGGTGCAATGGCGACCATTACCGATCTAATCCAGTGGGGGACTGGAGGACCGGTAAGTATTTATTTGTTAATACTACCCATAGGAAAAAAACCAACATTAATACCACCCATAGGAAAAAAAACACAACAGCAAACATTTAACCCTTACAGTGCAGGAGCAGTTTTTTTTTCCTAAACTAAAACCTCAGCATTTGGGTTTTAATTGCAGTATTGGCACTTTGAAATAAATAAGTTGATTTTGTGTTGCAGTTCGGGCACTTGGGCTCAAAAAGGTTTGCCATCAGTGGCACAGGCTATAGGAGAACCATGACCGACAGACAAGGTCAAGGTATGGAGAATGGGAAGGAAAACAAAAAAGGGATCAGAAAGTTACATTAATGCATTGCTACATTGAAGAGCTGAGGGTAGAAAAAGAGTATACATCTAATAAAATGTACTAAATCACTCAGGCTCAGATCTTGAAGGAACCCTTCTCCATCATTCCCAACTTGGCTACAACTTGGAAGCTCAAGTATGCTGTGCAAATGGTTTTTATTCCTACTTCCAAATTTGGTCCATTTTCTTCTGAAACATGGGTGTATTTTCCACCAACCATGTAAGAACATAAGAATTGCTGTATGGGTCAGACCAAAGGCATGTCAAATCCAGCATCCTGTTTCCACAGAATCAACCTCTGGGGAGTCTAGAAACCAGACGGGAGGGCAACAATCCTCTCTCAATCTCCCTTTCCCTCTTTTTCATTCTCTCTCTTTATCGGTCTTGTTCCCCTGCTATTGATGCAGCCATCACAGTGAGTTGCTGTTAATCATGTTATACCATGAATCACCAGGAAAAAGTGGCTAGACTAATTATACCAATGATAACAGAAGGCCCAACCATGAGAAAAAGAACAAGAAATATTCAGAGATTTGGAAGGCCTTGATTTGTGTTGGTGACTCTCTTCACGCATGAGTTCATCTGTAGAAAGAGTCATTCCTAAGGCCATGATTCCTATAGGCTTCTACCAATAGGTGATTGGGGGAAATGTCATTTCATTTCATAAGGAAAGAGGAGGGATTACCCCATCTGGATCTAGCTGGATAGCTACCCCAAATCAGAAATGTAAATATAAAGACTAGGAGAGTTTGTAATTGCCTCTCCTTGTTCAGTACCCCCAAAACTCTGTCCCTGTAAGCAACCAGAAAAGTTACCAAAAAGTTCTGGCAGTAACCAGAAAAAGTTTGTATTTGACAACTCAGGGCAGAATGTTGTTTCTGATATAGACATTATATTTCTAAAGACTTCCAGTGTTCCCACCCTTTTCTTTCCCACAAGTTTTAAAACCTCACAGTGGTGGTGGTTTTGTTTTTGGGGGTAGCATTTTTCCAGATGATTAGACATTCTGTGACTTGACCCAGCAAGGCCACAATCTAGCTTCATTAGAATAAATGGTTGTGTGTTACCCTTGACCTCAGTAGGATGTAGGTGACGACCACAAGGTTATTATCCCGATGGTTTCAGAGAAAGATGGGAATTTGGGTTCTTTGCATGGTTATCTGTTCCTCCTTCTTTCTGTTCCCTGTTTCTTTATAGACTCCACTCCCTCCCTCTACTATATATCCACATGGCCACATCTTCATCTATAAACGGTTCCCTACTATCCATACTTGTCATTGAAACAAAAACAAAATCCAACCTCTGTTATCTTTTGATAAGACAACAAGGCACCCGCATACTCATTTCAGTATGGGGAAAATGACCAGGGATGTGAGTCTGTTATCTTTTGATAAGACAACAAGGCACCCGCCTACCCATTTGTCAGCTTTCAGGGCTATGGGAAAAAATGACCAGGGATGTGAAGTATGGCTGGAGGAGAAAGATTTTGGTAGAAATGGATCAATGGTGTTTTCAGAAACTCACAGACTAAAATCAAATCAAATCAAATCATCAAATAAATTTATTGTCATTGTAAGTGTATACATACCCATACAATGAAATTCACACAGGCACCCAGAGACCAGACACACATGCATACACATAAAAATTCCCCAAACTCTCCCCACCCACTAAAAATCCCCCACTAAGAATACAAAACAGAAGGAAATACCTCATGGAAAAGAGGGAAAAGCTGGATCCCTTAGACAAGCCAACACAAAGTTAATAATAACCCAGGGTGTTAATCAACAGTTTCTCAGAACTGCATAATCTTCAGCCTGTAGGAGCCACAGGAGCAACAGTCCATGAGTCAGCAGACATACGTGGTCATTTGAGGGGGATGTAGCAGCAAGGAAAGGAAAAAAAAAAGGAAAAAGAATGAGGAGCAATGAACTACCAGAGTCTCTGGAATACTGTTCTCTCATGCACACAGCCACTCACTCACCCACAACGCGAAGGATAGCTTGTTGTAACTTGTTGTACTAATCACTGTAGGCAGTGTTCATAAACCATTAGGTAGAGTGAGGCAGCTGATTCAGATGATTGATTCTGGTGCTGTGAGGGTAGCACTAGGTATTAAAATACAGAGCTAACATTGCTTTGCTATTTGTTCTCCATCCTTTAAGTTAAAATGTTCTTCGTAGGTTTTTAGAAGACACAGTTCCATCCCATCAACAGTTATCAGAGCAGTATTTAACTATAACCCTACATGGTTTCTGTACATGGAATGGGAACAGACATCATGTTATCATTTGCCTCAGGCAGCAAAATATAGTGGGCCGGGTCTGGTAATGTTTTCTGCTGCTTATAACAATTTTTGATCTGGTAGTCCTTGATTCAAATTTGTGAGTGGCTCTACCAACTGTACATGCTATGGCAAACCTAGTTTTCCTCTTATGTGTCTAGCAGTTCAAATTATTATTATGGTTATTATTTTAAGCTGAAGGGCATAATTTAAGATAAGGAAGATTTGGTTATGTTGATACATTGCTTTCTTCGTTGCTGTTCAGATATTGCAGATAATACCCCGAGGAATGCATCACTCCAGCTATATTGGAATCTGCATATGTAAACTTCTTTAACTCCCTAGGTATATTTCCAGATCAGTCTTGCAAAATTTCAAGGAATGCAGAAAATATTATATTGTACAGAGCAGAAATTTCACAATGAATTTAATATCTGGAATTTTCCCCTCTGGACCAGAAATTAATATTTAAAGTGCATACATGTTTCCACTTCAGATCTAGAGACCGGAATGTCAACATTTAGGCTCTTTTAACTGTTATTGGATTACAGCCAAGCATCTTTAACAACAAAACATTCTCAGATCTGGTTTCTGCAGTCTGAATATGTGGAGGAAAGATTCAATATGTTATGCAAATATGCTTCTTGAGGGTTTTTTTTTAATGTTCAAGAACTGAGATATATTTGTCACTCTTTAGGGGAGCTGAATCTCAAGATTTATTGTTAGCATTTGAACATGCACATGAACACAGGTGCACACATTTCCATACAAACTGAAGAGGTGAAACTGACTCACTAAAGCAGAAACATATTCAGACTGCAGAAACCAGAAATCATACATTTGGATTCTGACTTTTAAAAGATGCAGATTAGCATATGGAAATTCGATATCTGGGATTTGATTGTAGACTAATATCTCTCACAATTTTTAAAGGTCTCTTTTTTCTTTGCAATTAGAAAAAAATTTCGCCTTCACTTCAGTATTCCCTATTTAAATTGTTACTAGGATGAAGACAAGCAGTCCATGAAAAATTCAAAAATCTTTATGTGATCTTAAGCACATTTCCTGCTTAAGTGGTTTCTTATTCAATAGTTTGTATGAGTCTAGGCTTGCTTTGCCATCAACTGACAGATGTCAGAATCTTTCAGAAGAAGGCATTGTGGATAAGTGGATATCTTTCAGTGTGATGATTGTGTAATAGTATGTGTATGAGTAGGATTTTTATGAGCTTTTCCTGAAAATGAAATGTGTTTTGAGTTATCACTGAAAGGATTCACTGAGAAAGTACAAAGTTCTAACCAGCAAAAGCAGCAACTAAATTGTCACCAGATATCAAGGAGTCCTACACCAGTGAAAGGGGGAAAGTACTTGTGTATCATCCCTAAACTGTTTAGGGCTTTATAGGTAAGCCTATGCTTTGTTGCCGCCAGTCACTCCTGACACCCCTGTTCAGGGTGACAATCCAGTTCTTGTCCGCTTTTTGTGTTTCAGGTAATAACATCTGTGTTACACGAGGGGTGAACTCATGTCAACAGTGCTTAACTGTGAATCCACAATGTGCTTGGTGTTCCAAAGAGGTGAGGCTAAACCAATATTATGTTTACTGTATGTATCTTTTCTGATTTTTTACCTTCAGTTTCTTAGTTAACATCTATGTTTTCTTTTACTTTTGCAACAAACAAGATCCTTCCCTCCCTCTTTCAATCTCTCTCTCTCTCTGATACACATACACACATTCTAACAATTTTATTTATGAATTAGTTTTTGTAATTTTATTTCAGCATTGCATTCTAAACAGGAAAGCCCAAGATAACTAATATTAATAAATATTAAAATCTAATGGAAGGTGTAGAGTAATCATTCAGTTGGTACATGCACCACAGATGTGACATAAAAGTTGAGTTGGGACACTGGATTTTTCTCACAATTCCTAACAATTTACTCTCCCTCGATTCCACATCCATCTGCAAGGAGAGGGCATATCCTGATAGTGCAGTGGTTCCCAAACATTTCAGACTAGCCACTCACTTCATTTACTGACCACTGGCTGCAGCTCCCCTTGCTTGGAGTGGCCATCACTGCCACCAAGGACAAGATCTTGACACCCCTCCCCAGCCATTCCATCTCCTCCCGCATGAATGAATATCCCTGAAGGTCCACCTTCTTTGAGGTCCTGACACAGGAAACTGAGAAGGCCACCTGGAAAGCACCTCCACCAGGAATCGTAGAGATGGGGCAAGGAGAGGCAGGCACACCGCCTTCACTTCTCATTCCTGTTTGACATAGAGCTAGGTTACACACACACACACACACACACACACACACACACACACACACCAATTTATTATAACTGATAAGCATAATAACCCAGAAGGAATTTGCAGCAACTACTGTCACTACACACAGTGCAAGCCCTGGTTTGGTTCTACAAGGGCATCAAGGCACTTTTTAAAAACCACACCAGGATGTCCGCTGCTGGCTGGCCAGTGCTGGGAAGCTTCCCAACTACTGACAGCAATGGAGACATGGCAGCAGAGTCCTTGCCTGCTTGACATGGAGCAAAAATGGCGTTGCTGGAGCTACACTCCCTACCCCCACCCCACCCCGGCCAGGGCAACATTGCCAGGGGGCTTCCCAGATACCATAGCACTGGCTGGCTGACAATGCTGGCTTTGGCGGGGGCAGCAATTCCAGCAGCTCCATTTTCACAATATGTCAAGTAGGTGAGCTGCTGCCTTGACCCTGACAGTGTCAGTAGCATCAGGATGCTTCAAAGCGTGTGTGTATGGGGGGGGGGGGCAGCTGGCAGCTGCTCTATATCCTGCATCAATGTTAAGACTCACATTAAAACAGGCAGTGTAAAAGAGACCATTTCACACCTTTTTGCAGATAACCTGCAGTGAAAAGCTCATTAAAGGTTATCTGCGAACACGTAGTTCCTGCCTTTGTGTCAACAAACTGACATCCTTCTTGGGTTAAAAATGGGTGTTTTGTTTTTGCCACAGTGGAGCTCAAGTTAGTTGATGGGATTTAATGTGTAACGAAAGACTAACATTAAATTGGAACATCCCAACCAAGTAGCTAAACAAGAATGTAATTTACTCTGCCTATCAAAAATAAATATCATATTCTGAATCTATCCAGATAAAATGAACCCCAGCATCGCCTGGTAGCTATACTGCATAATAACATTATCCATACACTGATGCTAACAATAATATGCTGTCAAGTCAACCCTGATTTATGGCAATCCTTACATGGTTTCCTAAGTATAAACCATGCAGAAGTGGCTTACCAGTCCTTTTGTTGGTGTTCTGAGATGGAGGAGGTTGCTCAAGCCTGCACAAATGGCAGGACTCATAATCCCATTATCCATTCATGCTTAGCCTCCAGATGATTTGGCCCATGCTCACCCAGGAAGCACCGTGGAAGGTCAGTCTCTCAGCCACTGGTTATAAAAATAAAAACAATGAATAGGAACAGAAAATAAATTCAGCACTAAACAGCGGGCTAAGTACAATAAATGCAAACACTAGTCACACAAAAGTCCTTCTACACTTGAATAAACATGTTAAAGTGACATTGGAGTGCAATCCAGGGAAGGCCTGAACAAATCTTCTGGAGTAGATAGTTGACTAAGGGTACAGTTACACTATAAAATGAATTGGGAGATGGACTGAAGATACAGTTACACTATAAAATGAATTGGGAGAAGGATTGAAGACAGTTTAAAGTCACATGGTAGTCATATGGTTTTTGGTTCGGTGTGTGGATCCTCTTTGGAAAGTTTTTAATCCATTTTTAAACTGTGTTGTATCTTGGTTGAGGAGGTACATGGGCTTTTAGAAATGGTGCATTTGAGACTTTATCCTCTACCCACCCACCCTTGCATTGGCTGCCTTTCACAGTGACTTGCTGCTGCTACTGTGGTATTACTTTTTTCTTTCAAACTGGGATAGCGCTAGATCAATATTACAGACAGAACAAAAATAAAACAAATCAGACAGCAAGGTTTCCCTATAACCTGACATACACTCATGCGCACACACACACACACACACACACACACACACACACACAAGGATAAAGAAGAAGGAACCAGCAGCTGGGGCTGGGAAAGGGACGGCAGACTAGTAAATAGCAAAGAGAAACTGAGCAGAGAAATTGATAAGATTGGCAACTTCCAGGCTTTCAAAGAAGGGAGATTTTGCCTCACCTAAACTTCCTCTCTCTGCTGGCTCTCTTTTCTCATCTTTTAAAAAAGTTAAGTCATACTCCTGTTTTTCTGATTTTCTCTGGGCTTGATTGCAAGCAGGAGGAATGGGGTGAGGGAGAGCAGAGAGGCTCTGACATGGGTGAGCGCACATGCCTTTCACAGCTACTCGCTGCTGCCACCACCAGTGTTCTTTTTAATATTTGTTTTGATTTTTATTTATTTTAAAGTGGGATAGCACTAGATCAATATTACAGATAGAATATATATATATATATATATAATATCAGAGTACAAGGTTTCCTTGCAGCCCAAAACCACTTTACTTAACAAATCCCACAGACAAAATTTACACTGAGAGAGATGTTCACATATGCTGAAATAATTCAAAATAAACTAGTTTCACAAGTGATTTAAAATATATTTTTTAAAAAAGTAATAAGTCTATTATGATTTCTTCTGTAGCTTAAATCAGGAGAGCAATAATTGGCTAGCACCAGGGCCCATCCTTCTAAAAGTTCCTCACAAAAGACATATTAAAGAGAGAGGGAGTTGCTGCCAAGAACAAAGAAATCCAATAATGCTCTTCATTTAAGTAATGAAAACTCAGTTAAAAGTGGAATCCTCTTAAAGTATTTGAAGAATGTTTCTCATGGCTGCTAAATCCCATGTAGCAGAACCTTTTAATTCCATCAGAAATCTCCATCCTCCTTGATCTTCTAAGGCATTTTGAATATCTTCCCAGGATGTTTTTAATTAAACTGATGATGCATCAGATTCAGAGCAGCTTGCTTTTGGCAAGGAGGAAATGGCCACATGTGCCTATGTGTCATACCACCAGTAGTTGCTATTATTCTAGATTTGCTGTAAAAAAACAACAACCCCTCAGTTAACTAGCTCTGTCTCCATCTTGCCCCAGAGTAAACTACTGATAGTGAACCCATTCCATGCTATGTAAAGGTATTCCAGGAACACTGAATTTGAAAATCACTTAGTACCAGGCACCATATTAGAATGACACCAAGATTATATTGGAATGCATTGATATATATACACACACACACACAAACAAAAAACACTCCTCTTTACTTTGGGGAACCATGCCTGCTCAGGCATTCCATCTATCCGTCAAATATTTTCCTTATAAGATTGCCTTTTAAAATTGATAAAGCCCTCATGTGCCATCTGTAGATGGATTTCTTCTGTAGCTTAAATCAGGAGAGCAATAATTGGCTAGCACCAGGGCCCATCCTTCTAAAAGTTCCTCACAAAAGACATATTAAAGAGAGAGGGAGTTGCTGCCAAGAACAAAGAAATCCAATAATGCTCTTCATTTAAGTAATGAAAACTCAGTTAAAAGTGGAATCCTCTTAAAGTATTTGAAGAATGTTTCTCATGGCTGCTAAATCCCATGTAGCAGAACCTTTTAATTCCATCAGAAATCTCCATCCTCCTTGATCTTCTAAGGCATTTTGAATATCTTCCCAGGATGTTTTTAATTAAACTGATGATGCATCAGATTCAGAGCAGCTTGCTTTTGGCAAGGAGGAAATGGCCACATGTGCCTATGTGTCATACCACCAGTAGTTGCTATTAATCTAGATTTGCTGTAAAAAAACAACAACCCCTCAGTTAACTAGCTCTGTCTCCATCTTGCCCCAGAGTAAACTACTGATAGTGAACCCATTCCATGCTATGTAAAGGTATTCCAGGAACACTGAATTTGAAAATCACTTAGTACCAGGCACCATATTAGAATGACACCAAGATTATATTGGAATGCATTGATATATATACACACACACACACAAACAAAAAACACTCCTCTTTACTTTGGGGAACCATGCCTGCTCAGGCATTCCATCTATCCGTCAAATATTTTCCTTATAAGATTGCCTTTTAAAATTGATAAAGCCCTCATGTGCCATCTGTAGATGAATTTTGGAGCAAAGTGTTGGGGAGCCAAAACATGGCATCTCAGAGGGCACCAGGAAGTGACTGAGTCATTATTTTTTTTAAGTAAAAAAAATGGGGGGAGGGTTATGTGAGGATGCTGGGGGACACATTTGGGCCTCTGGAAATGCACGTGATCCATAGGATGTACTTTGTTCATCTCTTGTCTACACTAACTGGCAGTGGCTCTTCATGGTTTCACACAGGAGACCTTGCCAGTCTTATCTGGTGATGCCAGGGATTGAACCTGGTGCATTCTGCATGCAAAGTAAGTGGTAGGTATTGCCCACTAACCTATGGCGCTGTTCACCACACCGGCAAGGAATTTCCCCAAGGCTGTTCTAGAGTGCATTTTCCATTCATGCCATCTGACAGTGAGGCTGAGCAGGCATGACTGATTATATCTCAAAT